GTACAAGGAGAATAAGTCTAATCATAGCACTCAGGAGGCTGAGGCAAGAGGATCATTGTGTGTCAAGAGGCCAACCTGAACTATATAGCAAAACCTTTTTTTTTTTTTTTTTTTTTTTTTTTGCAGAACCAGGGATTGAACTCAGGCCCTTGCGCTTGCCAGGCAAGTGCTTATTCTACTGAGCCATCTCCCCAGCCCTAGCAAAACCTTTTTGAAAAAGTAAGAGGGCCCTTTCACCTAAGGAGACCACAATCTAGTTGTGGAGAAAGTTATGCTAAACTATGATGCAAAGGAGTGAAAAAAGGAGCTACAAGTATGTTGAGTGTAGAAGCAGCAAGTGTTAAATAAATAAAGCAGCAGCAAGTGAGCCAGGCAGGCTGGTGCATGCCTGTGATCCCAGCACTGTGGAGGTCGAAGCAGGAAGATCACTGCAAGTTCAACGCTAGCCTGGGCTACTTAGTGAGACCCTGCCTCAGAAAAAACAAAGCAGCAGCAAACGATTCAATGGAAGAGAACACGGGTATCAGAAAGGGGGTATCTGAGTTTGGCTTTGCAAAGTTAAGTGGATTTTGACAGGCAGGGAAGGGGACAGAAGAGCAAGCAATTCAAAGTTGGAAATGGACACAAAGAACCCAAGAGAAAGGAGTGTAGGAACCCAGGCCTGGGGAGATGGCTTAGTAGAATAAGCACTTGCCTTGCAAGCACAAGGGCCTGAGTTCAATCCCTGGCTCCACCAAAAAGGAGTGTAGGAGAGCACGAGGAGAACTGCACTGGGTGCTGGGGAATCTTGCTTGGCTTTCCGAGGAATCCACTGGAAAGAAGGTACAAAGGCCAGGCATGATGGCACATGCCTGTCATCCCAGCACTCAGGAGGCTGAGACAGGAGGATTAATGTGAGTTTGAGACCAGCTTGGGCTCCAAAGTGAGCTCAAGGCCAGCCTGAATTACATAGTGAGACCCTGCACCCCCCCAAAAAAAGGGCACATATGGACCTGTGTACCTAAGACCTCTATTCCCTAATTTCATAAATACAGTGGTACCTAGGTATTATAGTTTGTGTCTAGATATCCCCGCAAGGCCTTATGCAGTCATTAGGGCTTTTTCCAAGGTGGCTGTGCCTAGACTTTGTGAGTGCTTAAAGGTCCAATGCTGAGATTAAGGGTGTGAGTGCTACACCCACCCTAGGGCAGATAGCTGGCATACAATGTAAGGAAGGCTCAGACTGTCTCTTGCATTGTTGCTTTTGCTATCTTCTGCAGCCATGAATAGTTGCTCCTCTTCCAAGCGCCACCCCGCCTTGGAGCCAGCTGTTCATGGACTGAAACCTCCTCAAACAGTGAGCTAAATAAACCTTTCCTTCCTTTAACTTTGGGAATCAATGTTTTGTCTCAACAACAAGGTAAGTAGCTAGGATACTTGGTTCACAAACTTAACTCATTTCACAATTCTGGAAAGATGGCCATGGTCAAGTTTATCATTTGATGCTGAGTTTGCAAACAAAAGTGTTTGTGAACCTTTAAGAACAATGTTAAAACCACTAGTAGGCATGGTAGTACAGGCCTCAAATCCTAGCATCTGCGAAGCCGAGGCAACAGGGTCTCAAGTTCAAACCTACTCTGAGCAGCAACTTGGGAAAGCTCAATCTGAGGTTCGAGCCTCCATATTGAGGGGTGAAAGCTAAAGGAATCTACAAATCACCAAACTAAGCCAGGTGTGGTGGTGCACACCTGTAATCCCAATTCTCAGGAGACCAAGGCAGGAGGATTGTGGCAAGTTTGAGACCAGCCTGAGCTACAAGGTGAGTTCAAGGCCAGCCTGAACTGTATGGCGAGAGGCCGGGGAGCTAGCTCAGTAGAGTAAGTTCTTGCCTGAACTGCATGGCAAAACCCTATCTCAAAAAAAAAAAAAAAAAAAGACAAAAAATTAAAAATAAAAATCACCAAACTAAAGCTTGAGACTTATACATGTTTTTTCTCAGTTTATTTCCATTTTGCACAACTGCAAAACTCCATTAGTGGAACTTTAATTACTTGGATTCATTATAAAATTTCCATTGCATATTAAGAGTATAAATAGTTTCACTCTAATGCTCTCATTTGAATCTGTGGCTGAAAGCACTGGTAGAAATCGCATTTTCATGCACGTCCTTGGCAGGTTAAGGGAAACAAAATGTATACTACTAATCAAGTCATTAGTGGACTTTAGACATGTGGGAGGGACTACATGAAGACAAGAAACAGACGCAGAATACTTTAATAAAGATTAAAAATATTTTATTTAAACTTTTCTTCATAAACACTTTAACATTTTTTCAATTTAAAAACAGAATGGATAGCATAAACATGTTTGAATAGATTATATCCACGGCTTGGGAAAAATTACCTGACAAAAATGTAAAGGCTTTCAAAACAGATATAAAAGGCAAACCTTAAATTTTTCTAAGATTTTTATATTGGCCCTAGGATTATTTGACTACTGGCCCAAAATGTACCTAAAGGTCAAAATATTTTTCTATAGACAAAGTATGCCCAAGAGGTATAGGGCACATACAAGTTAGGTAGAAAATAACCTCTCTGACCACCTCTTGGGAACATTCCTCCAGAAAGCAAACACCCAATCGTTACTGGTATACTGATTAATAAAACTTTAATGCACTTGTTCCCAAAGATGTAAAAAGAAAATCCAAGAATTTTACAGAGGAACAAAGATGATGGCATCCTCTCAATGTTACTCGTGTAATATTGAAGGTTTACTGCTATACTGGCAGGATATCATTTCCATGAACTTATCTATTCCACTCTATGCCTATTGTATATTTGATTTTATAAACTCTCAATAAACTAATTTTTCAGGACTTTTAATGTTACGATAAATCTCTTTTTAAGAAGATATTTATTCCTAAACCGACTCTAAATGCAACTGACCAAATGTATGATCTCTAAACATGTTCAGAATGAAAAATCAAAAATGTATAGTAGGCAAACAAGAAAACTGGCACTAGCAGTTTCACTGCCATATAGCCCTCAATTATATCTAATTTACACTATATCTATGCTGTTTTACTTCAGTCTAAAGCTTTAAATTACGTATTCTCAAAAGAGCTAGTCTCTTCTGAGAGATAGCTTATAAACTGAAAGAACAATTTATATTATAAACTGAAATGTTATGACCTACACCCACATACACATATATAAAAATAGTCCCACTGAACGTCTGACATGTTTAGATTATGCAGCTCAAATAATTTGTTATAAAATATTTTAAAGCTTAGTTTCATGTAATTAAGACAAAACTCTCCATATCTACCACTTGTCCCCACACCCGTGTGTGTCCTTTCCTATGAGTCAAGCAGGCGTCCCAGAATGAGGTGTCCGCAGGTGCTGCTTTAGAAAGCTAAGCGAAGGGCTCAGTTGGTTTTCACGACGAGAGTGCCACGCACACGGGGCACAGCAGCAAGGGGCGGGCGCAGGGAAAGCTGTCTCTAGAAAAGCTAATCATCCTACTCATTAAGCTTTGCTTTTGAAAACCAGTAGCATTTTCTTCTAATACAAAAACCTTCAATGTGAGAATGTTGCATTTTATGAAAAGGCTGTAGTGCAAGGATTTTCTTTGAAACCAAACTGAGGTCAAAGACATGGAAGAGAACAAACAGTACTAATTAAGATGACATTAATACAGATCCGCTATTTTTGTGAAATCTGGCATTAAAAATGTAAAGTGAAAGCAACACATACAAAGATCGTAACAGTTATAACTGTATAGTTTTCAAATCTCTTACTGGATTTTTTAAAAAAACAATTGTTTTGTTTATACAATGGATAGTAACAAAAAATGGTTCCAAATGAAGCACACAAAAAATAAACTTGAAAAAAATTCTATGAAAAAAATTTCCATAGTTTAGTATAACAAAAATAAATCTCTTGCAGCAAATACACCATAATTTTAAAAGGGAATGTAAGTTTATCATGGATTTAAAATCACCTAAATAAGAGCTACATATAAACAGAAAGGTTTTCTCATACATTCAGAACTCAGGCAACAGCAACTATTCTTAAAGCTCACAACTGATTACAGCTAATATCAGGGTAGACATGACTTACGTGAAGCTGAACCCAGAGTTAGTTCAAGTTACAATTTCATCAACTTTATGAAACATAAATGTTGACCTTGGCCTTGCCTCTTTAAAATGGAAGACCAAGAATATTCAATTGTTTGCTCAGATGCTATCCCCTGCAGGGGTTATGAAATTGTATCTAAGCAATTAAAGTGAACCACCACTGGAGTGTAAAGCCTTTGATGTGGCACCCTGTCTGATGGCTCTTTTTTGGGTCTTTTCCAGCAAAACACATCAACAAGGGAATGAAGATGTTATTTTCTTTCTTTGAAGCAGGAGCACACACATAAAAAATCTTAAATGAACTAATGGATTTTAAAAATTAAATGGCTAACCCAATTCCTAGTTTGCAAAAATAAAACTGCTGGGTGTAATGGAATATGCTTGTAATCCCAGCACTTGGGAGGCTGAGACAGGATTGTGAGTTCTAAGCCAGCCTGGACTACACAGCAACAGTCTGTCTCAAAAAACAAAACAGCAAAAATAATATAATAATAATAATAATAATAATAATAATACTTAAAAACTATTTTTAATGTAGAAAAAGACTTTTACCCACATTTCATAGAAAACTAAGATACCAAACCTCATTTTTAAAAACTCTAAGTAAATTAATAAATAATTAATGAGAATTAAAATTTCATAGAAGCTGGGCATAGTGGCCCATACCTGTAATCCCAGCAATTTAGGAGGCTGAGGCAGGAGGATCACTGCAAGTTCAAGGCCAGCCTAGGCTACACAGTGAATTCATTGTGAATTCAAGGCCAGCCTGCACTACCCTGCAGACCCTGTCTCAAAAGACCAAAAAAAAAAATTAAATTTCATATACAGAAGAACATTGTTGTTAACATTGTCTTGATTTCTGAAACTAATGCCAATGTTTTTTAAAAAGCTACTTGTGTACATTATTTTTAAGTTAAAATGTCTCTAAATTTTGGCATTTTAAATTTGGGTTTTATTTTGCAATATGTCTGACTGAACAGCAAAAAAAACCAAAGTCTTCACATTTCCATGACTTCACGCTTCCACTTTATGTTCAATGGTGGCAGCAGCAAAAAAAAAAAAAAACTAGAAAATGTAGACAACAGCAGCCATGTGGAAGGCATTGCAATATTGCACCAATATCCTAAGATCTGGCAAGTTTTGCCAATGTAGATTTAGTCTGTATCAAATATAGACTACTCATGAGAAAATGGCATCTGCTTAAACGATTCACTCTTGCTTAATTCTGTCATCTGTATTTTCTTCTCTTAAAATTTAAAGGTACAATTAATTCTAAAATATCTATTCTACTCCTTTTAAACAGCTACTCTTGATCCATTCTGAATTTTGTGGTTACTATCCTTCACATTAGTGGCTTCTGGTAAATAAAACAAAACCTGAGGGCTAATATCCCTAGTGCCACTGAACATTTTGTAGGAAATAAATAAGCAGGTATAACCAGTAACATTATAATTCTCTTTCTTACCTTTTAAATCAAAACTGAGCTAATTTTTCTAAGAGTTGCTACCCCCCATTCAATAACAGATGCAGCAAGCAGCCTTGCTAAATGTAAAGAGTGGGAGTCGCACTTACTTTTAAGGGGCATTTAGGCATCTGGTATTACCTAAATTCTCTTTAAAAGTACTTGCACGCTGCAGGGTCAGATTCAGAGTTTGTCATATACCACTCCGATTCTCACTAAAAACAGGACAACACTATAGACTGCAAAGAAAAACATTTTCAAAAAGACAAGACATCAATAAAGAACACCAACATTCACTTTTGAAGATAAAACATAAAATGCTAGTTTTTTCATAAATCCATACGCATTTCAGGAATATAAGGAGTTCAAATATCACTGAATCTGTATGGACTGAAGACTGGCTACTTTGATACCAAATGAAGACTCCAGTTTTATTTTAACTTTCTAAGAATGTTAAGACATGAAAACACGTCACATCTAAAATTCAACAAGTATGGCGAACCGTGTGTGCAAGTGCACTAGCTTAAAAATATAGAATCCTAACCACGCATAAAAGGGATGTGCCTTATATATTTATAGGATGTATGCGAGTATGGATATGCTTTCACTAACACATTGCGGATAAGAGAAGGCAGCTTAGAAATAGTGTTCTGAATATAAAAAGTTAACTTTGTAGAAAATTTATATTTTTGCATTTTCAGCAAAAAGCCATGCAAAAAGGTCGAGTTTTAAACTTTTAAATAATAAAACCAAAACATTTAACAGATTAAAACACTGAAATTAATGTTCAAAAAGGTTTCAGATAGAGCTAGGAACTGAAATCACATCCAGTGACATTTATTGGGTCTTCTCTTAGAAGATGCAGGACTCCTACGCTAACATCTGAAAGAAATATTTAAAGCAGAAAATCAACTTCCCAGATAAGTGGAGCATTCTATTAAACTGCTTCTGGAAGTAGTTTCAAGAGCTAGCACTTAGAATTAACTTATTGCATGAGTTTGAGGCCACTGAAAAGAAAAAAGGGATGCTAGCACAGAATGAAAAATTCTTACAATATTAGACCAATGGCTTTGATAGTAAAACTGGTGAGGTTTTTCCTTATGCTTTTTACCTATCTACTTTACCACAAACAAATGTTTTGTTTGCCTTTTTTTTGAGGGAAAAAGATGTCATTAGTTGCAACGCCTGACCTCATCCAGTACATAGTCCGGAAAATGCAGGTTGCATACTTGTAAACCATCCAGCTTGCAGGGCATCCGAGGGTACTCATCTTCCTTCCATTTGTTTTCATCTGGGTCGAAAGTGAGAATGGAATCGCTGTAGTGACCATTATAACAAAGGCCTCCAAGAACCATTATTTGTTTGTCCAGCACAGTCACACCATGGCCACTTCTCCCAATCGGCATCGATGCCAAGATGGTCCACTGATCAGTCTCTGGGTTGTACACTTCTGTGGATGGGCAGCCCTGAGATTCGAAAGAGGCCCTCAAGATCACACAGACCCCACCAAAGACATAAAGCTTGCCACTGTAAGAAATCATCTTGTGAAAGCATCTTGCGTAATTCATCTTGCTCTTGTTTTCCCAGCAGTTGGTAACTACTTGAGTTCTCCTGGTCCGTTGCTCTATGGTCCCTTCTTTACTGGGGTCAAACACGCATACTTGTTTAGAGGTGGAAGATGAGGTGATTCCACCAGTGATAAACAACTTGTTATTGAGCACTGTCCCCTCATGTCCATATTTGTTAACTGGGTAAGGGTCCACAAATTCCCACTTATCATTGGTGATGTCATATCTCTCTGTTGAATAGAAGGTCTCATCTCTGGTTCGGCCTGCTACAGCGTAAATGAACTTCCCGATAACACCGACTGCGAATTCTGAGCGTGGTACAGACATGTCTGCCATTCGCAGCCACGAGTTCTGTCTTGGGTCATACCTGAACACTTTGGAAGAAGCATGGAATTCACCATCCGGGCCCAGTTCTTCCCCACCTAACAGGAACACAAAGTTATTGATGATAGCAAGGCAGTCTGGTCGAAGAGGTACTTGTGGGCCCTCCAGCTCCCACCAGACTCTTGGTTTCTTTAAGAGAAGTATTTTACTGTTAACCATGCTATGTCCAATCATTCCTCGGAATACTGTAGTCTGGGGTTTGGCAGAACGAATGCGGCTTGATTTCATGTCCAACAAAGGCTGCTGATGTATATTCTGGAAGTAATTCAATGCTTGGTCAACTTCATAGCGCAGCTGTCGGGAGTATCTGTAAAATTCTGATGTTTTAACCTAAAAATACAAGTAAAACAATTTAACCCAAAAAAAATCATCAATGGCAGACAAAATTTTTAAATCCACTAAACCATTATGATATTATTTTAGGCTCCTTTACTAAAACTGGTAAAATTACCTACTTTCTGCTTTCTATGAAGTTTTAAAATCACATTGGCTTTTACAACTTGTTCTTGTAGTCATCTATATACATTCCCAAGCTTTTAAAATAAACAAGCATATGCTTTTTTCACTGGGTGTGCTGGTGGCACACATGTGGAACCCACAACTCTGGAAAGCTCAAACAGGAGGACACAAGTTTGAGCTCAGCCTGAACAACTTAGCAAGACTTTGTCTCAACATAAAAAATTTCAAAAGGTGGCTGAGGAGATAGCTCAGTTTGAAAGCTTGGAATTCAATCCCCAGTACCACTAAATGAATGAATCAATCAAATCAGATTAAATCTCTTCCCATGCACAATGTTCCTGGCAGAAAGAAACTGTTAACATACTATATTGGGTACCTATGTTATGTCAGGCCCTAGGCTACAAGTGGGATCTAGGAAGTCAGATATGGGGCTTCACAGGAAAGGACGCCATGTTTGCAGTTTTCTGCACTACGGGCAACACTATAAAACTACCACAACGGAATAATTTGGAAAATTATGTTAGTGAATGAGTGAACATTCCCAGTAGAAATACATGCAAAATCCAGAGGTTTTTTAATATAAACACTGGGTACACTTTCAACAACTTCTACATTAACAATTTAGTAGACAAGAGTAAGCTCAACTGCTTTTGGAGCTGGAATTATATAATGATGATGACTATCAAGACCTTATAAAGCACTTTTAAGTGTTGAACTAAGTAAGCACTGTGGGGAAATTAAAAGTGTAAGACAGGGTCCATTTCCTCAAAGAACTTACAATTATTTGGGAAAATGAAAACAAACACAAATTTACCAATATAGTTGGCTGGCAATTAGCTATGAAGATGTACAGCACACCTCTGAGTGTTGCAGCCTTTTCTATGTAGAGCACATCGAACTGGCCCAAAACACTTAATGGATACTTTCCAAAAGAGGTAGAAAGCTGGAGACCAGCAGAAAAACCCTATATTACAATATGACAAGGATAAGGTAAGAGGACGTTAAGTGTAAATGAAGTAAGATTTATATAGGTAAAATCTACAGATATCCATGACTAGTTTAAAGTAGGAACAGGCTAAAAAAAGAAAAAGACTCAAACATGATTTGAGGATGTACACTTGAAGTGACAGGCAGACTAGTGATGTCCATACAGAAAAACAAGATAGATGGGTGTGGTGGCGCACTCCTGTAATCCCAGCACTTGGGAAGCTGAGGCAGGAGGATCACCATGCGGCTAAGGCCAGCCTGGGCTACATAGTTCAAGACCAGCCTGAATTACAGGAGGAGGTTCTGTCTCAAAAACACAAAATAAGTGGCTCCCTGGCAAGCGCAAGGTCCTGAGTTCAATCCCTGATACCACTGAAAAAGAAAAAAGAAAACCAAGACAGAAAGCTGATTTGGGAGAGTTATTCAACTTCCCTTACATGGGGAGTTGCTGATAAGATGAAAAGGAAATATCTAGAAGCTGGATGGAAATCTGAGACGAGAGCTTGGGAGGACTGAAAACCAAGCATATAGGCGTTGGTGGTATAGTGGTGAGCATAGCTGCCTTCAAAACCAAGCGTATGTTTTCATGATGTCTTTCTCCTTCCTTCTCTGTCCTCCATGCTAGCTTTCTCTCTAACTTATCTATTCATTCATTCCCCTTCTAAGTCCCAAAGCATGTTTGAAACAGAAAGCACCAAAAATTTAAGTCTTTTTATAATTATACTGAATAACTGGTTTCTTTTGTAATTCCAGGCATTTAGAGTCATTATTTTGAGAAAGGGATATCTGATTCATAGAGTTTACTAGACTACCAAGGGTAAATGGTACAAAAAAGGTTGCGAATGCTTTGCCTAACTATATGAGAGAGAAAACTAACACTGTGACTGCACTGGGTGCCTTATATATGTGTATCCTGTGTTAAAGACCACTAACGAGGATATCATGTCTGTGTCTTGTACAAAGACAACAATATGCCATGCATTAATTATTGTAACTGCCCTACTAACCTGTTTTGAAACTGTCTCATTGCTATTTGTTTCTCAATAAAATTAATAAAAAATTAAAAAATAAAAATAAAGACCACTTACGATCTCCATTTATCTGACTGGGAAAAAAAAGTGAATATTAAGTGACTTTTCTAAGTTGCTTATATAACTAAAAATGGTAGGGCTGGGATCTGAACCTTCAACTAGGAAAATCTTAACTTCAAAGCTCACTCAAAAAAAAAACAAAAAAAAACAAACCTCATTCAATTTTCAGTAGGCTACAGCATACAGCCTCCATTATTCTTTATAAGAATCTTTAAATGCCATGGTCATTTACTAGAACACTTAACATGTTCAATGAGTGAGGCTTATGACTCCTCTCAAGGGTCTGTAACTGTTCTTAACAAAAACAATCAATCACATGGATCACAATGATTGGGCATCCAGCTCCATTCTCCCCAGCAAAATAACAACTGGAACAAAATTAGCAAATAGCAAATAAGCCATTTCAATAAAACAATAAAGAAAAAACTATATTGCCACATGACAGATACCACTTTACCACTATGCTTTACCACTTGTATCTTTTACTGCTTGTTCTGCATACACATAAGCTTAACCAAAACACAGTGAGGTTCAATCTCTTCAAGAAGCCATGGAAAAACTGTTCAGTTCTAAGGATAAAATCATTGCTTATTTATTAATACAGAATGATGTTCACAATATATTGATCTTCTAAAGGGCTACAGTACTCTGGCACTCTTCCAATTATAATTTTATGTGTGTTTAATAGTAATTCTCTGGAATTTCACAAACATTTTTGCATTCCTTGTTTTTGTGTACTTATATATAAATACGTATGTTTACAAAAACAGAAAAAATAGTTCTTGCCATTCAGAGGACTAGGGAAGTAACAGTGGTACAACTCTTGCGTAGTATGTGCAAGCTCTAGCTTTGATCCCCACCAGTGAAAAATAAAGGAGAGGGGGTCACTGTAGGAATGAGGATCTTTTCGTATTTTCCTTTTCCAATCAGTTCTTCTATGAATTCTTTAACAGTCTGCCTTGGCTATTTCTTTTCTCTTTTTCTTATTGACTTGTAGGAGCTAACAGGCAATATTCTGGGAAATCAACAGGAATCATAAACCTCAAATTAAATATTTAAGTGCCTACTGTGCACAGCCAGTGGCCTGAGAGCTACACAGGTTTTCAAGCTATTGAATCTTGTCCAGCAGAGTAATGAAGCACTAGCCTAATATAGTAATTAACAATTTGATTTAGGAAATTTCTCACCTTGAAACTCCCTAAGTCAGCTGCACAATCTTGGGAATATAATTCAACATCCTAAGCCCATTTCCTCGTTTGTTATTATTGGGATAACAATAGCACCCATGAGGCAAAAGATAAGTGACATAGTCCACGAGGAAAGGATTTAGTCTGGTGTGTGCCATGTGGGAAAATGTAGCTATTACTACTGACAAAGGACATCTGTGAAAATGTGACTCAGCCTAAAATCAATCCATCTAATGACTTTTTTGTTAAGGCAGAAATAAAAGAAACTAACTTTGGATCCAATCCTCACTAGTAAGACATAATTAGTAATGTAGAAGTAGGAGGACACTTTAGAGAAAGCTGTGTCAGTTGGAGATCAAAAAAGAAATGAAAAAAAGAAAGAAATGAAGGCGAAAGCTGCACATATTGTACAGGCAGAGTTCAAACTTTTCAAGAGAAAATTAGATCAGGTCCAAAATCAGATGTTGTATAAGGAACTTCAAGAAGGCTGAGCAGCTCTCACAAGCATAATACAGACTGCATGAGTGCGGGAAGAGGGAGGTAAAAAATACGATGTGCTGCACGGACAGCTTTCTGGATTTTATGTGTTAAAAAACTACTTACAACAGACGGTTAAAAAAAACAGGCACATAAAACAAATATAAAGAGTGAAATGGAACTGTAAGTATAGTGAATGAGGCTAAAGGCACAGCATGAACTATAACTTGACAGAATAAATGATATTTTAGAGGCCAAAGAAAGTAAAGGAAAAAGTGGAGGCTCCTGCTTCATGAGGTGGTTAATGTAGTATTAACAAATAACAAAGAGAAGCAGCTTTATTCCTATTTTATTTCCATTCTCCAGCAAGGATGTCTTACTCTTTTTTTTTTTTTAATTTTTATTTATTTTTGAGAGAGAGAGAGAGAGAGAGAGAGAGAGAGAGAGAGAGAGTGGTGTGTGTGTGTGGCCAGCTCAGGCCACCACGGGGCGGGGCTGGCTGGCATGTGGTGCTGGGGGATTGAACTGCGGTCCCTGATGCTTTGCCAAGCTTGTTCTAAGTAGGTGCTTTAGACCACTGAGCCATCTCTCCAGCCCGTCTTACTCTTTTCAATCTGAAGATCAAATACAGTTACTGAGAAGAAACTTAAATTCAAGATGGTTGAGGGAAAAAAAAGGTAGTTTTCTCACCAACTTCAAGTCATTTGATCTCATGAACCATGTCCTAGGATCCCGATAAGCACCACAGATAAGGCTGCTTAATTATGAAGAACAGAAGAAGTCTAAAAGCCACACAGAGTTCCCAACTACATACTTGTTAGTCTGAGATAGATCCTGGATTGTTTAAAAATACAGCTAATGCCAAGATTGACCCTATTTTCTATTTTTTTTTTTGGCGGAACCGGGGATTGAATTTAGGCCCTTGTACTTGCCAGGGAAGTGCTTACTCCACTGAGCCATGTTCCTGACTCCATGTTTAATTTTTGATCATGTAATAGCACTGGTAGAGAATGAAAGAACATATAACTTCAGCAAAGTAATCAACAAAATCTAATAATAAAAAGAAAGGAAACATATCAGGGACCTATGAACCACCAGAAATTGTAACAGTGAGGGCCAGGGAGATGGC